TATTTTGATATTTTTTTTTAATTTGGATATGACAGGAGACAATGGACTAAAAAGGTACAGAAATAAAGGAGGTAGATTTACCCAAGTTGAGGTGATGTTTTGATCAAGCCAGGAAAACATCCTTTGTTTCCCTCACTTTTGTCATACTGAAAGTAACAACAAAGACCAAATGGCAATGGATTAGGGTATTAGGTCAAAGGTCAATATCAATGTGAGTATCGGTGTTCCCTGCACAAATTATATCTAAGGTCCTAAAATCAATAGATGAACATAAATTGATAAGAATCCTTTGGTATTAGGTTATGAGTTAAGTACACACATGCTAATTAAGCTGAGGAATGATTGTCTGCAGATCACATTAATGATGTGCAAATTGTAAACAAAGAAACAACAATAAAGAAATTGCAACACTTAGGAAGACCAAATTATTAACTCCATACATCAGATACATTGTATACATGGAATGAAGAGTATGTTTTAAAGAGTTGGCATTAATTTCATTACTTTTCCTTTTTTTGAAGGCAGGAGAGGATAAAAATGATAACTTTCTGTCCTTTCTCCATTCATGAAATGATCACCTCTTCTATACTTTAAAACACATACCTGATAAATTGCCACGCAAAAGAAACATAAGAAAACAAAACTGATGTGTATACTGGGATAGTGCTCAATGACTGGGTACATAAGGTTAAAGTGATCATTATTGTGTGAGAGGGGATTTCTGTAGACCATGTCTGGGGAAACAGCTCTGATACATCTGTAGACAATGTCTGGAGAGACAGTTATAATACATTTGTAGACAATGTCTGGGGGAGACAGTTATGATACATTTGTAGACAATGTCTGGGGGAGACAGTTATGATACATTTGTAGACAATGTCTGGGGAGACAGTTATGATACATTTGTAGACAATGTCTGGGGGAGACAGTTATGATACATTTGTAGACAATGTCAGGGGAGACAGTTATGATACATTTGTAGACAATGTCTGGGGAGACAGTTATGATACATTTGTAGACAATGTCTGGGGAGACAGTTATGATACATTTGTAGACAATGTCTGGGGAGACAGTTATGATACATTTGTAGACAATGTCAGGGGAGACAGTTATGATACATTTGTAGACAATGTCTGGAGATACAGCTCTGATAAAAAATGACAATGTCATGGGGGAGTCAAGTATGATACATTTGTAGACAATGTCAGGGGAGACAGTTATGATACATTTGTAGACAATGTCTGGGGGAGTCAGTTATGATACATTTGTAGACAATGTCTGTGGAGACAGTTATGATACATTTGTAGACAATGTCTGGGGAGACAGTTATGATACATTTGTAGACAATGTCTGGAGATACAGCTCTGATACATTTGTAGACAATGTCTGGGGGAAACAGCTCTGATACATTTGTAGACAATGTCTGGGGGAGACAGTTATGATACATTTGTAGACAATGTCTGGGGAGACAGATACAATATCATGGTAGACAATATCAAGGGAGACTAACAGTTATACAGTTGTACATTAAAAGTAATATGGACAGTGTAATATAAACAGTTACGGTGCTTTGATGTATGACAAATGGTTCTCTAGGGATTATGGATAAGACTATCTTAGTTTTACTATGTAACAATGCTTGATCCTATATACATGAAAAATACACCCAAACAAGAGGCCTAGAAAACAGTTACTGTGTGTGAATGAGATTTAGTATGTTATGAATTGACAGTGGTAGTGTTCTACTGCAAACTAATTCCTTGGAGTTTCAAACTTAAAATGTTTCAGATATACACTTCAGTGAGGGAGACAATTAGGATGTTTGGTTACAAGTGTTGTCCTTTCACATTCTAATTTATATACCGGTAGGTTTTTATTTCAAAGCAATAGCAACATTTGAAGACCTTATTAATAAATAAGATTTATATATCAAATGATAAGAAATATATAACTGATACACTTATAATACCTTGTAGGAAAATATTTAATAATCAAAGACAACTAAACAGAAATCGTCCTATACAGATAATACTGTAGGTAATTTCCTTTATGTACATCAACTAGTTTCCTATATTCACATTGTAGGTAGCTACATAACACATGTAAAACAAGAGTTGTTATCGTCTAGCTTGGTATACAGATGCTGTCAATAAATCCCTTTCTGTTATGATTGCTAGTGAATCATCGATAATATTAAATACAAAAAAATAAAAATACATGCATGTGCATAAGTGAAGATAAAAAAGAAAAAGTATAAAAAAATGTAATATACTAAATTGTACATTGTTGTTTATAGTACAGTGTAGTAAGTACATATCTGGTGGACAGCTGTTTTACCTCAGTATATTGTAATACAATGTTGTATCTAGTAGTGTAGAAGGTACATATCTGGTGGACAGCTATTTTACCTTAGTATATTCTAATACAATGTTGTATGTAGTAGTGTAGAAGGTACATTTCTGGTGGACAGCTGTTTTACCTCAGTATATCGTAATACAATGTTGTATGTAGTACAATGTAGAAGGTACATATCTGGTTGACAGCTGTTTTACCTCAGTATATTCTAATACAATGTTGTATGTAGTAGTGTAGAAGGTACATATCTGGTGGACAGCTGTTATACCTCAATATATTGTAATACAATGTTGTATGTAGTACAATGTAGAAGGTACATATCTGGTGGACAGCTGTTTTACCTCAGTATATTGTAATACAATGTTGTATCTAGTGCCGTGTAGAAGGTACATATCTGGTAGACAGCTGTTTTACCTCAGTATATTGTAATACAATGTTGTATCTAGTAGTGTAGAAGGTACATATCTGGTGGACAGCTATTTTACCTTAGTATATTCTAATACAATGTTGTATGTAGTAGTGTAGAAGGTACATTTCTGGTGGACAGCTGTTTTACCTCAGTATATCGTAATACAATGTTGTATGTAGTACAATGTAGAAGGTACATATCTGGTGGACAGCTGTTTTACCTCAGTATATTGTAATACAATGTTGTATCTAGTAGTGTAGAAGGTACATTTCTGGTGGACAGCTGTTTTACCTCAGTATATCATAATACAATGTTGTATGTAGTACAATGTAGAAGGTACATATCTGGTGGACAGCTGTTTTACCTCAGTATATTGTAATACAATGTTGTATCTAGTGCCTTGTAGAAGGTACATATCTGGTGGACAGCTGTTATACCTCAGTATATTGTAATACAATGTTGTATGTAGTACAATGTAGAAGGTACATATCTGGTGGACAGCTGTTTTACCTCAGTATATTGTAATACAATGTTGTATCTAGTGCCATGAAGAAGGTACATATCTGGTGGACAGCTGTTATACCTCATTATATTGTAATACAATGTTGTATCTAGTGCCAGTGTAGAAGGTACATATCTGGTGGACAGCTGTTATACCTCAATATATTGTAATACAATGTTGTATGTAGTACAGTGTAGAAGGTACATATCTGGTGGACAGCTGTTATACCTCAGTATATTGTAATACAATGTTGTATCTAGTGCCGTGTAGAAGGTACATATCTGGTGGACAGCTGTTTTACCTCAGTATATTGTAATACAATGTTGTATCTAGTACAGTGTAGAAGGTACATATCTGGTGGACAGCTGTTATACCTCAATATATTGTAATACAATGTTGTATGTAGTACAGTGTAGAAGGTACATATCTGGTGGACAGCTGTTATACCTCAGTATATTGTAATACAATGTTGTATCTAGTGCCGTGTAGAAGGTACATATCTGGTGGACAGCTGCTTTAACTCAGTATAATATTATCATATGTTATTTCAGTTGTTGGGGTATAGTAAAATCTTACTTATCTATCTGAATTAAGCACTTTCCTGTCATGTATGACCTTAATTTTTACTCCCAATGTAATTTCCTATAGACACGAATTACTGCCATAATTTCTTTGTCTCAAACATCAAAACTTATCTTTTCCAGCCACTTTCTAAAAGTTACCTCGCTCCTAAAAACATCAATACCATTTTGCTGCATGAAAAGCTAAGATGATTACGGGACAATCCCATGTTCTGTTGTGCTACCCAAGTAGTTTATTTACAAATAAAATAATGTAATTCTTCAATGAAATTTTATTAACTCTTAACTATTTCTGTTCGGATATTATTGATCTGTATAGAAATATCATATCTCATGAAGAGATCACTATAGAAGTGTATACATCTGTGTAAAGATTGATCTATTTTCAGTACCGTGCATGTTAATGCAGCCAGGAGACAGGAAGACAAACCAGATTTATTGCTGTATAACGGGTGTTACATCACAAACTATAATGGCTTTTATGGGAATTTCTGACATCACTGGTTGTAACTTCGTGAATATTACAACCAGTGATGTCAGAAATTGTTAGAAAAAGACTCTGAAATGTGGAACTGGCTGCCTCAGAGTGCTTCAGGTGATAACTAGTAGATTATTAGAGTGACAAGGAAGAACCCAGGTGTCCAATATGGACACTTACAGTTCAATTCTGAGCAGATAAAATATCACCATCGATATTTCATGTTGGACTAAATCACCATGAATATTTTTTTAAACTGAATCTATACAGGGTATATTTATCGTGATCAATGAATTTTTTTTGCCTCTTTTATTTGTTTTATTTCTTATTGAACTTGTATCATGAGGCCACATGTCATATGTGACCTTATTCATGGCATCATTTTGAAATTTTTAAAATGGCAAAATTTTGATGTCATGTATAGATGATATTTGCTGTTAGTGAGAGTTGTTTGCTAATGAGGATGTTTGATTGAAGGAGTTGTTTGGTAATATGAAAGTTTGGTTGTAAGAGTTGCCTGGTGTTGTGAATGATGGGTTGGCAATTGTTTTGTGCTGAGGATGTTTGGTTGAGGGAGTTGTTTTATAAGAGGAATGTCTGGTTGCTGGAGTTGTTTGGTGTTGAGGATGTCAGTAGGGTTGTTTGATGCTGAGGTTTGTAAAGTAGAGTGCTCACCTGTACAACCATTGTTGGCATATCGTAGCTAAGATGAGAAACACAACACAGCACTGAAATATCGTCTTCATTGGCAAGGCCTGAAACAAAACATACCACGGTCTAATATTACAGCAGTTTACATTACTTGTACTACAAAGAATTCAAAATTTCAACAGAAATACATATCAATGATTGGTTGTCTTGCACCATTATACAATTTGGCCATAGGGCCTGTATCGCTCATCTTCTGGCTTTGTTTGACTGAAATTTTTTATCCAAGCTAAAGTAAAGGAAATTCTAGAGGTCTATTGTATTCTCCTATTAGCCTCTCACCTTGCATCATCTTTGATGTTACCAAAATCAAACACACAACAAGAAAAGATCAAGCTGTGAGTAAGGTTTAAATTTTTAGTGTTGTCTTTTGAATATCAATGTGAACTTGGGAGAATGTAGAACAAATAACAAGCCAGAAAACTTACCTGCATGAGTATCACAACGACTATAAAGTTCAATGGTATTCTGAAAAAATTCATAATTGTTGCCCTTGCTGAAAAAGAAATGTCAAAGAATATTTTTTATCAAATCTTTACAAAAGAATATTCAAATGATTTAAAGTTGTAAGTCAGGTCCAAAGGACTCCAATTAATACATTAAAAAATAATGTTCAGTACTACAGAGAACAATACATAGTACAGTTCACTCCCCTACCTACTTCCAAACTTTAATATCAAACATGAAATAGGACCATAACTTGGTATAAGGTGGGATACACAGTAATTTTCAGTATGTGTATATAGCACTCTGTCACCTATAAATAGTCTTGATATTATTAAGTAATAGGGCATATAAGATACACCCTGTAGACATGGCCACAAAGAACAAAGGGCCACAACTCTGGAATGTGAGACTCAAATTCAGTATATTGCTTTAAAGCTAGTATTTAAAGATATATTATGTAATAACAGTACTGACAAGTAAATTGTCAAATTTTCAAGACAATCTGTCAATTTATCTTGGCACAATATATTACAAAAGTTAAATCACATCCAAAGAAGACAAAACAAAGATAATGTTACATCTATAATAAAGAACGATGGTGCATAACATCCCAACAATCTCTCCAGTCGATGGGCACTGAAGGCCCTTTATAAGAAGCAAAAAACTATCTTAAGCTGATGTTTGAAAAATCTGAACCAAATACCAACTCTAAGGTAAATCTACTGTGTTTGTGATAGCCACTGAGGATATATGCGTGATAACAGAGTAAACATTTTTCAGTGTTAAACTCAAAGAAAAGGAGTTTGTCAGTACATCTCTGTCTTATTCTACATAAGGAATTGATACATGAAAATCACAAATTTCATTGTAAAAAGTTTATCAAGTGTAGTCAGAATTAAAAAAGTATTTTCGATAAAAATGACCAGTTAAATGCACAAAAAATAATTACGAATATGGTTGAATGGCCCCCAGATCAGTCGCCCACAAAAAACTCGCCCCAGAAGGTAGGTATACAGTGAGGGCGTCTAACCAATTCACATGGAATGTGATTTACTTTAGATGTGAAAACTTCAGCAAAATACTTCAATCTCATTATTCACAATGGTGTGCCATGTGCTTCAACTACCAATTAATTAAGATTGTGTGACAAAATGTTTGAATCTCTTTCTATTGACTGTTTGGGGAAGATTTTATTTCTTTTACATACGTAATTCATCATTTCGTGAGAAAATATATTTCTGTTGTAAAAAACTAACATATTAATGCGATAATTGTTGTTCCATTGAAGCAGTCATTCCTGGAGCTTTAAGTAGAACCAACAATAGAATTAGCTAACTGATGTAATCTCTCTATACTCACTGGCTTCTGGTACATATTTGCCTCTCATCTGACCCAATGATGGCCAGAATATTCCTACACACGTCTCAAACACCAAGAAGCCTATGAACACAAACATCTGGTTCTGAAATAAAAATCAATGTTTGTGTAATTATTTTACCTAGTATCAATTCAATTAACACATTTATCATCAAAACTTCATACAACAAGTGTGTAACAATAAAAAAATCAATGACAAATTTTTTGAGATATTTTTCTAATCTTCCATGTTGATCAAATAATACCTATTTGTGACGTCAGAAGAAAAACTCACCCCTCTGAACAAAATCGGTGTAGATAAGGAAATAGCAGCTATAAAAAGAACAAATCTGAAATGAAACAAAAATGAGGTAAGATAAAAACATTAAACACAAGAAGTTCTTATTACTTACAAATTATTGGAGATGTAGAAGAAATAGAGAACTGGACAACAATCTTAGAAGATCTTGGCAGATTTTATATATTAGTTATGTTGTCTATAGAACAATGAAAATTTCAAACTTAGCCAAGATCTTCTGAGAATGTTGTCCAGTTCTCTATTTTGTCTTCATCGTTAGTTTCTGGACTGGTCTCTCTATTCCCTAAGGAATCCATTCTACAGAAAAATTACCATCTCTACTGATTTGCCTGTTTCCGGATGTTGGATCCGTTTTCTGTTGTATTGTAATTAAATTATTGAAAAGTACACTGTTTAAAAAAAAACAAAAAAAAAAAAACAACAGCATTTTGAAAGAAACCAGAAAACTGCTGAAGAATACCATCAGATAGAAAATGACCTCAGGGCTATTCAATGATCTCAAGGACCTCAGGGCTATTCCAACTGAGAACTCTAAGTTTTAATTAGTGGCATCAACAATCCAATTTCATTGTTGATTTGCTTTAGAAGTAATATACAGGAAATTGAACCAGAAATTAACACATGATGAAGAATAATGCCTTACCTCATAAATGATTCTACACTGCTATGATTGGATAGAATTTTAAATAGTGATGATCCAATCATGATGGACACCTAGAAAAAGAAGTTAATATCAATTATATATATTTGCTGTATGACAGAGCACTCCACCCATACAGTACATGTTAGTAGTATCTAACTCCAGAAACTACATTACTGCTGTGACAGGATATATTTTCTCGGCAAATATTCATCAAAATATAACTATATTACATGTTTCTAGTTCTTACTCATCAACGGTAAAAATAATACCAAAAATAAAATGACATTTTCTTGATTTGACATCAAATAGCAAAATTTCTGTTTGCCTAAATAAACCTGTTGTATATGATTCAAATGTCCCCTAGGATCGAACCTGAAAAATGTGACACACTGAGATTGTTTCAGCTCAAAACAAATTGATTCATAATATGACATTCATAGATTCATATATATATATACCAGCTAGGACATTTTATGACACAATAAGAATACCAAATAAGGGAGGAAAGAATTTCAATTTTACTTTTGACCAAAAAAAAATCAACTCTGAAACTTAAGTTTAAGCATTGGTTATTGAGTCAAACCAACTTCAAGTACAAGAGTTCAACAACATGATTTTTGCAGTACCCAGTCACAATTTTTCAAATGTGCCATTATTTTGGGAAAATTAATTAATAACTCAAATATTTCCATTCAAAATCATGACATAGAAATAAAAAGAATAACTAAGAATTTTCCCTCTAATTTTGTGAAAATTAAACAACACAGTTGCTGCAGTTTATTTATTACCATGAAACCAGCGAATATGTGTCCATGAGGAATAGTGTTCTCGCTAGAAGACAATAAATGGCGCACTGTGCCTGTGGCCGGTTCATGAGTTTCAGGTGTCAAGGCTGGGGTCCACTCCAACACAAATATATACATAGATCCTTCAAACAGTGACTGGATCAGGCCCAGACACAGGATCTTGTGGTCTGAAATTAACAATGAATAGTAAGGTAAACACAAGATATTGGTGATATAGTGACTAAAATACTGACAAACTAAAATATAAGTTTAGGATCTTGACAAAAGAGTGTTATCTTAAATAAGCAATACCTATTAAGTAGATGGTGAAGCATCGTTAACACTATCGCCTTTCAACTCGTCATTCAGGGTTTGATTCCCTGAATAGACATGAAGAGGTATGGAGTTAACTGTCCAGTTTCCTTACACATTAAGACCTCAAACATAATTCCGTCTGGGACATCAAGAGTGATCAATATAAGATGGAATAATCTGTTTTTCAATTGTTGTAATATACACAGCAAACAGGTAATGATCTGATTAGGTGGTATTGTACATGTCATCTTTGTCTTTTGGAGAGACGTGAATATTGCCTATTTGTTTGTTGGATTCATCACCCGTGAACAGTTATTCTGAGATTGGATGTCCTTGTAGCAGCTGGTGGCTTCCTCACTGAACAACATACAGGAGGCCCGTCACATGACATCCACAGCCATTATGGTAAAGTATTCTATGCAAGGACACAACATTGATAACACAGACTTATTTCTTTCTTTCTGAGAAACACAAAGTGCCACAGATCTTCATCTGAAATTAAGTAGCCAACATTTTAAATGACTGAGCTCTCTCTGGTCCTGGGATGGGAATGAAAACATTTGATTAATAAAGACTTTAACAACCTGTGAACAATGTATGTTGTGATCTTGAATATAGGTAACAGACTGATGACTCACCTGTTTTTATGGACTTCAAGGCATTACTGAAGCTGACAGAAAGGTCACTGGTCTTGTCTCCAAAGTTCTCATTCCAGGTAAACACAATAATCACTGTCATTATTGTCAGAACAGTTAGGGATACATCAAATGGGGCACTGCAAGACAAGAAAAATAAATCATCACAAGGGGTACTACAAAACATGGTAAAAAATGTCACTGGGGGCGATACAAGACAAGGCAAAATATTAGGTCATAGGGGGCGATACAAGACAAGGCAAAATATTAGGTCATAGGGGGCCCTACAAGACAAGGCAAAATATTAGGTCATAGGGGGCGATACAAGACAAGGCAAAATATTAGGTCATAGGGGGCGATACAAGACAAGGCAAAATATTAGGTCATAGGGGGCGATACAAGACAAGGCAAAATATTAGGTCATAGGGGGCAATACAAGACAAGGCAAAATATTAGGTCATAGGGGGCGATACAAGACAAGGCAAAATATTAGGTCACAGGGACCCTACAAGACAAGGCAAAATATTAAGTCACAGGGACCCTACAAGACAAGGCAAAAATATTATGTTGCAGAGGGTATACAACACAAGGAAAAATATTAGGTTACAGGAGGTGCTATATGTCAAGGCAAAATATTACATCAAAAGGGGCACTGCAAGACATTTAAAAGACCAAAAAAAGGAACTAAAAGACAAGACAAAAATCAGGGACCCTACAAGACAAGGCAAAAATATTACGTTGCAGAGGGTATACAACACAAGGAAAAATATTAGGTTACAGGAGGTGCTATATGTCAAGGCAAAATATTACATCAAAAGGGGCACTGCAAGACATTTAAAAGACCAAAAAAGGGAACTAAAAGACAAGACAAAAATCATATTAAAAGAGGCACAAGATGTCATGGCAAAATATTACATCAAAACGTGTTGCAAGACAAGGCAAAATATTACATTTTCCATTAAAAGGTGCAACGCAAGACAACACCATTAAATATTAATGGATTTTTGTCTGTTTATTGCCGAATGATTCTGACTGAGAAAAAGTTCACTACATGGTAAGGATATATAAATATATGTCAACTTACACAAATCCAAATTTGTCGGCAAAGAACTGAGCGACTAACCCAGCAAAAATGGCTACTACAGAGTTTCCAAGTACTGCATGGCTGAAAACGTTTCCAAGGGAATCTTGGCTGAAACCACGCTGTAAGTAAATCATGCAGATTATAAAACATCATTTCCTTAATATATACACTTGGTGAATGTTAAATCTAAAGGCCAAAAATGTCTTTAATTTTTTGGTAATGATTTCTAAAAATTGATCCACTTGTTAATGATAACTTGAACTGTGTGGGGTATAAAAGGTAATATCTAAAAGAGACTACATTGTATTTCAAAAAAAAAATATATATATATACATATCATAAATGTACATGTATGTTAAACAGAACATTTCACCAAACAGTAATTCTGAGACAATGAGCTGTGCATGTTCAAATGTACCATATGTAAAATCCCATCGAAGCCTTTTGTTTTGTTTTCCAACATGCCAACAAGACAGAGGAAAATTGAGTTTCTAGACATATTCCATAAATCATATTATATTTTTCTAAATAGTGTATTTAATGAAGACAAATTTCATACACATAAAAATGACAATACAAGATATAAGATTGCTTACTTTGTGGTGTTCATATACCATCCAGGACTCAAAGGCACTGTACAAGATAGAAGTGGCAATACCACCCAACAAACGTCCAACCATCAGAATGTAGAAGTTGTTAAAATGCTACAAATTAACACAATCAATGTTTTTAATGGAAAGTGTCTTTTATAAAAGAGGTTACTGATATAAATTGAATGTGCTTTTCACATTGGTAAGCATAATGGTTTAGTTGGTCAAATTACTCAAAATACAAGATTTGGTGGCAGGTAAATTAACTTGAGGAGGCAAGAGGGCTCATACTTCAGCAGGACAGAAATAGGAGGGTTATTTCATACATTGTACATGTGATCAAGTTTCAATGTATCAGTTTAAACAGAATTTTACAAAAACTTCCTGTATACCACACAATTTACTAAAAATGTTTCCAGTTCTGTAAGTCATCTTTTAAAGTTAGGAATTAATATTAGAAATAATGGTTTAACAATATAGAAAGTCCATATACAAAATTTGTCCATAAATAATGTATAACAATTTTGTGTCAATGTCCCCTTGCAACTATTGGATTCACATCTAATACAAGCATTATAGGCATAATGTCATCAGAGTCTGACGTTACCTTGGTGATACAGGCGCCGCCATAAAGGATTCCATACAGGATGCAGTTGGCACGGCGACCACTGTATAACACACCAATGAGAACAAGTGTCCTAACAACTATAAAACATTCAACACAACGCCATTAGGACCAATTCTACACACATATAAGTTACTGTGAATTTTTCATGACATGATCGATACTGCTGTCAATGGTATTTCTATTGAACTAAAATCAATAGGTGGTCTTATTATCACACACATATTCATTTCATGACACATTACTAACTATACATGTACCTGAATTACATAACATGATTAAATTTGAAATTATGTGACAAGTTGAAACATTCTCTGATGGGACTATATCATTAAAAGTAATTACAATAATACATTCATCCTACTTTGAATAATCTACAATGTTTGAATAATTCACTTTAAAATGTCTTACAGCAATGCAGAAACAGATAGTCAACATATATATATATATATATGTTGATTATTATATATATATATATATGTGTGTTACAAGACAAGGTATATGCAATCAGGTACTTACTATTTGTCTGCAAAAGATCCAACGATGGTCCCAAATATCAAGCTGGATCCAAAGCCGGCGACAAAGAGGACCTCAATGTCATGGGCAGACATGCCATAACTGTCATACAGAGCGTACACATGTGGTCCTTGAAGCCAGTCTCCAGCTGTAACAGAGATGCTCATTTAACATTGTTGTGGTATCTTCAGATTAATGCTAACTTAACATTGCCTAAATAAACATAATGTCCAGATCTTTGGAAACAGAAAAAAAAAAGGTTACCAATATTTGGAAGTTTATCAATATGTTACTACACTTACTGGTAACAAAATCACCCATCAAACATAGAATCAATGAACTGAGTGTAAAATATGAACAAAGGAAAGATAAACTTGTAGACCTCCAGACAAAAACAATAAATCCAGGTATTTCGAAAGGTGTTCGTCTTCTCCTTCACTGATGAAACCCGCCATGAAAGCCTTGGTCAATCAAAGTAGGTAATGGCATTCCGTTCTCCAATGAGACTATGACAGAAACTATGTATAACTTGATGGTAAGTCAAGGTCATTTCTTGCGACCTTTGTCAGGCTCCCTACCAGGAAGCTACTAGCAAAATAGCATGACTACATTACTTTTGGTTCCTCAAAAGAATTTGTTAAGGAAAAGTTTAATGAAATGGGCAATAGATGAGAAGCCACATAGTGGCATCATGCTCTTCAGTTAGGTGAACTAGAAATTAAGTCACTTTACCGAAGTACAATAACAAAATTGGCCAAAATACTTTCGTTACAACAGAAAATGATAAATTTCAAATTATTATCTTACTTTTCAATTGGGCCAACCCAATCAACTATCAGGAGGGTAAGAACAACTAATAACACAAAATTGAAATCTCTTCATGTTTGGGTGAAGTTTGAACACAATTCTGACCTTTTTTAAATGAAAAAGGAATTCTAAGAATTGTCTTTGATTGGGCCCTATCCCTCCATCACCAGGGGGCAAAGACTCATCATTTATACAAAATTGGTTCCCCTTCCCCTCCTCCCCCTAAGTACACTTCTGAAGAAATAAAGTCATAATACTTCCAACAGAAGAACAATTTCAAAGAGATCATTCTATAATCCCCAAAGCATGTTTGCCCAAATTTTGTCTCAATACTTTTAAGGTTCAACCCAGCAGAAAAATGTTTTTAAAGTCATTCTCCTATTTCTGCATTGGGGCCCCATCTCTCAGATTCAATATTAACACAAAATTGTAATTGGTTTAATATCGCCTGAGACGCTTCTGACCAAATCTGGACAAAAAACTGTCATTCCTAAAGAAGAAGAATTTGATTGAATTGGTTAAATTTCCTCTACAGGGGCCCCTAGAGATCTAGACCCTCCATTCATACAAAATTGGTTTAATTTTAGCCAAGAATGCTTCTTACCAAATCTGGTCAAATCCACACAGTGGTTTGTCACTAGTAGCAGTTGGTAGAAAAAGTTAAAGAACTGACTTAAGCACATAATTAAATAGATTTAACTCACAGACAAGACATTTCTTTATTGCATTTTAATGTACGCTTTGTAACATCAGGTAACTGATCAATACAATTTACAGGGCTACATGTAAGTTGTGACTGTATTCATTTATAGACAGCATGAAAACCTACCTAATAAGCATTTTGATTTCCATAGGCAGATGTCATGCACACATGATAATTGAGTTCTTTCAGAGAGCCAATACTCAGGATCAAGAATATAAATAATTTATTATTATTTCACAGAGCACCAATTCTAAACAGGTATTCTAGATCTTAGGATGGCTCTACCACAGCTGTAGATCTAGCTTCATCTAAGATTATTCTACTTGTGAAATTTGAAAAGGATCCGTCTCGTATTTCTAAAGAAATACCCATAACAAGAATTGTTTAAGAAAAGGACATCCAGTGGACCAGATGGTGGGCTAAAAATATCTTCAATCTACCAAGCTTGTGCTCTCATGCAGACATTTCATGCCTACCCATGCTACAGTCAATAATATGTGATCTAAGGTGCTAGTACAATATAGTGGACCATATGTCACAAGTCCAGAGTTATACATGGTCAACTATGCATACTAGCACTTCCAGTCAAATATTTCTTAATTATACTTAGAGAAAACATTTATAAGTATGTGTTTTATCACATAGTTGTGTCAAGAAATGAAACTCCATACAAATTAAATGCCACTCTGAACGGGTTTTCCAACATCAGACAAAGTTTTGCCGACATATGGTTTGGATATATTTACTGAACACTTTCCATAGAAAAAACACAGTTCATTATATAATATTCAATGGAAAACCATTAAATATACCTACCATATAAACTGCCTTGAGAGAGGCATAATTTTAAGTGCATATATATGCCAATGGCATGATAATTTTTATTATAGAGTAACACATATACTATTGCAAGTATGGGAAAATATCATGTTTCTTTGTAATGATTTGTCACTGAAATCTGCTTTAACTTTAAAAACTAGAAAGTTGAATTATTAAATATATGTATAATTATAACTGCACCAGAAAAAGGTCAGTATCAAACATTATTATTAAAAATCATGGTAATTTTTATTTCAGATAAAATCAGACCTAAGATGACCAGACCAAGAGAACCTAGTGTACCAAAGGAACCATTACAGACTGAGATTAGCCGTAAGTACATCAGTAGTGCAACAGAACCCATGAACAAGTGATTAACCAAAAGTTTCAGGAAGTAGCAGTTATTTGCCACAGGCAATAACCCATACATGATTCTACCAGGTGCTCATGACTGGCTCAAAATACCAGATATTATTATACATTACATTTACTAGGATTAGAAAAAAAATATGATTTGTTCTGCAGTTCTTGTTCTTTTAAAATTGATAACCATATAGTCAAATTAAGTGTTGTACATCACAGCTGTAGACAATTCATTATCTACCTAGTTATATGTGCCACTGTAACACCAGTCTAAGATGACTGAATTCACATGTAAAGTCTAACATTGATGCATGATTTTCATACTCACACAATCGTTTTAAAGTTTCCACATAACATTAGAAAATGTGGCTTTGTTGATCATTTTCCATCCAAATAATGTTTGAATGTTTCACTGGGCACTCATACAAAGATTTATACAAGAGGCACATAGGGCTTGTATAACTTGCCTGATTTTTGCTTTATCCAAACTCAAGAAAAAGGAAAGATTTAAATATTTTATTGTCCATTGGACCCCATCTCTTTAAACAAAATATGGATAAATTTCTATAATTTTGACGGAAGAAGCATTTCAAAGAAGTTGTTCTAGTTCTCATTCTGGGTCCTGTCTATCAGGCCCCATGGATGGCCAGGCCCATCATTTATACAAAACGAAATTCCTTCCTTAAAGGATGTGTGTAACCAAAGTTGGTCAAAATCAGCTTAGTTGATCACGGCAAGTAGTGATTTGTAGGAAAAGTTGACAGATGGATTGATGATGTACACCGCAGTATGCCTTATGCTCACTTGGCATTTCAGTACAATAGAGTTAAAAAATCTTTTCAAAAAATGATGAAGATAGCAGCTGATTTGAAATGAATTTCTTATTTAATATTTGTTTTGACCCTTGAAATTTACAGGGAAACTAGGCACAAAAGACCTCAAGTTAATCTTCCAATATAAGGACTCCACCTAGCATATCTATTGTGTCTGTCTGGGCGTTAACCTGAAATAAACCAGTCCATTACAACAGGATAGCATACTGATTATGGAATGCTATAGCAACCTTTTCAAAAATACAGGTTTACTTTCTTCCTTGGCTATATAGCTATTTCAATATGAATAAATAGCAGATATATGAGGACAGCATGTCTACATCTGTGTACAGATATGAAAGATTTGATTAGTGTTCAATCATGCTTGATATAAACCAAAAACAACATTTTTAACCATTGCAAGGTAGATCTACCTCTACCATTGAATGTCATCAGCAGATACAAATAAGTGAATGTGCTACCTGCTGATTCACATCAGATAGCAAACACTAATTTTAAAACATCAATCTCCATAAATCCGTCATACAGGCAACATATTGTATATCAAGCTTATGCTCATAATCATGTGAACCACCCCTAGTAAGTTGCATACACATGGACTGAGCCGAGTTTATTATTTCATAATTGGTCTAAAACACTTAAGTGTACCTACATCACAGATAATTTGTAGCGTTAATGTATTTGATGTTTATGTCCATGTATTATCTTCATGATTAATGTGTTGTAGTTTCTTTCATGCAATAAAAGAACCTTATAAACTAGCCTGGCTGTTGAGGAATAACTCAACCAAGAGGCTACACTAGTTCTATTACATTTTGATTCATATCAACAAAGCCAACCAGGAAAAAACCTGCCCCATCTTATTAAAAAGGTCAGACTGTTGTAGGAATTCTATATTTGGAATTTAATTGTATGAAATATATACATGTATCACAATTTGAGGATAAATTTACCTTATACGCTCTTGTATACTGGGTCATACTTCAAAGTCAGAACACATAATAACCATGGTAATATTCACAACAGGGTGACAAGAGAATGTTTAGTAAATATTTATACATTTATGTACTTGTGTAATATTTGTCTGTCTAGGGCAGTACACAGATTCTCACTAGATCATTCACACGTGATAAAATTACAACCTTAAGCTTGTGTGCACATTTATTCAAGGAGTAGTTCCACATTTACTTCAGGTAGTGTCAGAAAAAAAATAAGTACATAGCCGGTACTCAAACAAAACTTGCAGTTTTAGTGTGTCGTCCGGAACTGAAATCTTTTTCGGTGCCAACCATTGAATGATTTTATTGGTTCTATGCAAGTCTGATATTTTCTATACCTTTTCTTTCCTACTCTTTTTCCACATATATAATCATTTGATAACAAGGGAATCATGATATGAAATCTAAAAAAGAAATAAAAATCCAAGATGGCCTCAAGTCACCATTTGATTTCTGGCGCAGACACTGAAATCAAACGAGCTTCTCAAAAAGAAAAAAATGACAACAAACCAACTATCAAAGAAAAGATAACTGGCTGTTTGCTAATCTGTTTCACTGATCAGTCTCAAAATTAAATGGGCAAAGCTGGGGACCATGAGGCACACACATAATAGGTGTAAGAAATATCCCTCAAGTTCTTCTCCAGAAATACTGAAAACAAACTTCAATTGTCACTGGCCATCTATTTTCATTTTGTTTCACTGATCAGACTCAAAATTCCATAGGCACGGCAATGGACAGAACGGAAACCTACATAAGAAAGCTTGAAATAGATTTTTTTCCCAATACTTCAATGGAAAAAAGGTAGCATGGGTTGCTCAGGAACAGACAGACCATAGATAAAATAGCCAACAGTATGACAAAAAATTGAATTGATATACAGTCAGAGATCTACAGCTACATTTTTGTATAAACACAACCCAACTGATGAAGCTATCACTTTTCATATGTTTTCATTAAATATGAAGAAGTTTTATAAGTACACTGTATGGTTCTCAAATTGCTAGACTTTCCATACACATAGTACCTTTATAATCTATTTGGTTTTTCCAAAGTATATTTCGTACAGTGGACCTGCGATAATCTGGACGCCAGTAGTCCACACAACTCACAATCCAGAAAGAAATTTCAAAATGTTAATTGTACTCACCAGTCCGGAAACTGGAATTCCGGTTCAAAAAAATACTTTCGGGTAATGGAATGGACTTAAGTGATATTTCTGCAATAGTTTGGACATTTTTTTCTAACAGCATGATAAGCCACAGGTGTACAGAATACTAGTTACTGATTGACACTGTGCAGTAATAGCAACCACTGCCAGATCATTGCCTGAAGTGTTAACCTGTGGAACTTATGTCAGAGTTAACAAAGCCTCTATACACCTTCAAATGAATAAGTCATAAAGAAAACTTGGAAGAATCTCTTGGTCTGTTTTTAAATATTTGATAATTAATTCTGAATTACTTAGTATTTACGCATGACAAGTGCTGGATCTTTACCGAGAGAAACACCTGAAGAACCAGAGGTGTATAGAGTACCGATGGACATTGTGTGTAATCATTATATTGAGAGACCACTGCCAGATCATTGCCTGAGGTGTTAACCTGTAGAACTCATATCAGTGTCAACAATCTATACAGGGAAAAGTCTTTGATCATTAATTCTGAATTATCAAATATTTATATGTGACAAGTTCTTGGTTTATACAGAGGGAAATGTTGTTGCTGTTTGTTATTGTTATTTTTTAGGATTTGGAATGTTGACTGTAACCAAGATATTCAAACATTTAGATTAGACAAAAATATATATTTTCAGTCTCTTAATTCTGAGAAATTGTCTTATTAATTGGTAAATTAATATCTGAATTGTGTCAAAACACACATAAATACACTATACGTAGTGCATATCATATTCAGACAACATGAAATTCCCAGTGACAAACACATGGAAAGTTTATTATTTTACAACAGAATATAGGTAGTTTACGTGGAAGGGAACTCAAAAGATCGAGGATATTAACACAATCATTGCCAGTGCTCCACTTGCAAACAGCTGTGTTTTTTATATTGAATTTTAATCAAATGATTGTTTTAATTTTAGAATCTTTTATGAATAAAACCTGAATTGGATTATGAGGTAAACATGACACTGAGGTCCATGATGACTAATGATTATACAAAAGATACACAAGAAGCAATAACAATTGTTTTTGTTTTTAAAGTCACTACATTCTCTTCTGTTATTTTGGATATAATGCCAAATGGGCACAGATACTCCATAACAATACATTAGGTGAGGTTTCCCAGATGTATTTCACTGACCATTGTCGCCTTCATCATTACGCTAAACCATGTGATGAGTCAAAACAACACACGGAAAGCCTCCGCCTTACAGCGCAAGCGCACAACCAAATCTCGCACTCGATACATTTCCTTCGAGAAGACAATAGGACGTGCGTGGTATCACGAGAACTGCGGGAGTTTCCAGTCTCTGTGTTATATACGTCTCTGTTCATATCGAGCAGGCATTCAAAAAATCACCTGCGATATTAAACTCCAATGAATAACAACTTTAATGTTATATCACCATGCATCATACTTGATTGTGTGAAAATTGTAAATGTTTTTTTACAGTCCTAGCATTTGCTAAATTGAACATAGGATAGTATCACAATCGTTACATGACTATTGCAATAATTTTAACATTGCAATGATATAGTGATAGCTTTTTTGGCCTCAATAGTCACCCCTACATAAAGTATGTTAAAAAATTTGAGTGAGTCCCAGGGGAAAAACACAAGACAAAGACTGAAATATCTGAGTCCCAAAAATCCCTTAATGCTATTATATAATGGCATTCAGATGTACATCATATCATCCATGCTATCCAGTGTGATCAGGCTATCAATGCCTGCTGGCAAGAATAAAGCTTCCTTCTCCTTGAGCAATAATTTCAGTTTTATCATAATTATCAGTGACTTTATACCCATTGTTTAAATCCGTTCTAATCATGCAAGAGATATGTCACTGAGAAAATATCTTTTGAAAATAAAAACAAAATTAAATTCCCGAAATATCCTCTCATAAATCATGCATAAACTATTAAGTGGTCAAACGGGTCTTCATTTAAATATATCATTGCTTGAATTCCGAGCTGGCCACGGAGTCAGTGGTATCAAAAACAAAGCCTACTTATCATTCCTGTCCCCCAAATCTTATAAATAATCACACGAATCAAATAGCATACGGTAAAATAAAACTACAAGACTTAACATGATGGTTGTGCACTCACCCATAGCCAACATGTACACTACCAGATAGATCCTCTGAAACTGCTTGAAGCTGGCATCTCCCACGGTCGGCAAGGACGTACGTGTGTAAACAAACAGTAGTATGCATATTACACTCAAAAGTGCAAACCCTGATATAAAGATATTCATAATAAAAGAAGAAGTTTCTCAATATGTCCACCTCTTTCAGATTGCTGTCATTCCGCCAGTTCTGGCACCTTAAGACCTGAAACGTCTCCCGGAAGCCGAAGGGACGTAACTGTGAAACTACTCAGCGTCTCTGTCGCTTAGGGGCACACGCACATATGTACAATATACACGATCGATTCCCTTAAGTCGTATAAGCGTGTAAGTAAGCCTTTTACAGCAAACTAATACGAGTTACTTTCCAATCAATGCAAGTACGTGCAACTTTTGATAGATAAAATTCTATCAAGTGAAAACCATGGATTTTAAATTAAGCCTAGATTTTGTTATGAAATTGGTTCTAATTGGAATTCCTACATTTATTGACTTTATATTAATATATATATATATTTAATTAAGTAACCTAATTTAACAATTTCCTATCATTTTCTTCCTGCAGTTTGTATTGCCAGAGTACATAGAGGTATGTCTTATTAACTCACGTAGCGGACATGAAAGACAAGCGCGAAAGACATCACTAATATGGTGATGAGGTAACTGTTTTATTTGAAAAAAGGTAATAAATATATTTCTCACCAGTACATTAGAAGTTAAGCATTATGGCTAAATAGCTGATGACTGGGTAACGAAATGGCCGTCGGATTCTGTCAAAAACAATTTTAATATAACTGGCCAGTGTGAAATATCATGTACATATATCTAGTGGTATTATTGATTGATATGTCCCTGGGACATGTTGCAATGTTTTACCTTGTTATGTCACATTATTTAGCATTTACTATTTAACATCTAAACACATGAGATCTCGCGAGAGTTAGAGGGTGGTTCTCTATGGGCGGAGCACCCGTTCTACGTCCAACTCATACATCAGAACTTAAGTGTGGTAAAGGCATAGTTATTGTAAATATTTACCAACATTGTTTACATGTTTAATGTTTATAATTTCATGTATGTCAATATTAAACTTTTAAAATGATTGGACATCTACTATCGTCAACCATACCTTCATTTGCTTTCAATAACATATTCATCGAAATCTTCAATTATTCAACTTGTAATAATAAGTTTTGATAGTACTATTGACCGTTCCGTTATAAAATGGGATATTATCAGTAAGTGCATTCTGGGTAAATGCTGTAATTTCTATTTATTTTGTTATTTTTTAACTGTAGTGAATTAACGTTATCCATGATGTAAAAAATGCATTGTATAATTTATTTATCAGGGAATATGGCTTACCTCTCAAATACAGTTTGCAATTTCCTTCACCTCACTTTACTCGGAAAAAATGGTAGAGATTCTATTTTTTTGCAATAAACATCGGATAAGTTATATATAATTCAAAAAGCTAAAAAGATATAGTAACGCTATAAATAAAACAAGTTCTTGTTATTAAAATTACATAGTTGAACTTCTCATGTTTTAATTACAATTATATTCAAGACCGAATGTTTTATTGTAAATAACGCAGCGATCAAACTCCTGACCAAATTAATTATGTTGTTATACTGGCATCTGCCATTGTATACATATATATATGTATCTATAATTATAAAGAATACTTTATCAGCATAATACCAAAAATGCAAAATAATTTCTCATTTTGCAATTTTGAATAATATATTGGTCTGTTCACATTCTTGTATCTGTTATTTAATGATTTGCTGAAGTTTTTTTTTTCAGCTCAAACTGTATTCAGCTAGAAACATTGCTATGGGAAAACAAGTATTAATAAATAGACTTATTACTGAGGGTAGGATATCGGTGGAAACATTCAAAAAGTTTGCGGTTAATTTACTGAAGTAATGCACAATATCATTTTTTCTTTCATACATGAAACAAGAAATTATTACTCAAATTGTAAAATTATAGTAATATTACCTCGGTAATACAATTTTACTGCAAACAGAAAGATGAAAAATACTAAATTAAATTAACACATTTTTTTGAGAAACGCACTAGTTATCTCCCTTCACACACGATCTTTTCATATCACGGGTCTATGGCTTCTGTTTTTTGTTTTTGTTTTTTTTTCAAATATGAGATTTGATTTAGACTCAGTGCTCAGTGCTTTAGCCGATCGTCAGAAACCCAAGAGACCCGGATCCATGTGTCAAATTGGGAAACAGAAGAGTCTCGCGGGTTTCCAACGATACGACCTATTCTGCTAACTTCAGATTGAATTCATGAATTTGCAAAATTTCGGGAGAATGCTATAAAATGTTCACAGACAATGTCAGCTGAGTTGCATTTGAGGAAAAGATCATTCCTGTTCTAATCAGATATACGATTATTGAGAACATTTGAGAGTCTGCCCTGTACGTAGATTTAAAAGCAAATTAATATACAACTAATATCACACGAGAATCAATACTAGAAAGTGTTCGAGTTAAAAGAATAAGGTCGAGTCAGATGGATCTACTTGGCCCAGGACGAATGGGTTCATAACATCCAAAAGAACATAGTTCGTAGATACATTTAATAAGTCGACATTTAGATCACCAGTAATTATTGTATTTGGTGAGATATCGATATTACTGTTAATAGAGGTATGTAGGTTTTCCCAGAAAGGTGAAACAGAATGCTTTGTCCTGGAAGCAGTGCCAACGATAGAAAATGGATAATATGACATTTAAATAGATTTCAAATTACCTCATCACTGGTGAAATTTCAAATTCGATAAGCAATTGGCTTATTGGAGAGATGTTTATAACACGTGTTTTACACGTCTCTGCTTATTGTTAGTATATACCAAAATACCTCCACCACCAAATTCCTATAAAGTCGATAAGGTTGATGAAATACAGTTATATGTAGGTCATCTGTAGTTATAATAATATCTAAATGAGTTGTTGTTAAACGTATAATTCCGTGTAATCAGCGCCTTTATTGTCTATGTAACCCAATATATCCGTAATAATAAAAATCAACCAGCAATAAAATTACTGAATACACAAAAGTTTGGAAACACGAAAATATTGATAAGTTTGACAGATTAATTAAGCATGAAAGTTAAAACTGACATATATCGAGAATTCATAAAATCATTTGGAAGTTAATGACATAAAACTGAAGAATTTTATCACACATATAACTGTAGTTCTTTGTTTAAATTATACCAACGTTTTGTAACACTATTATTTGACAGATGTAAGAATTATTCACTGACGAATAAACAGAAAGAAAAGTTTACAAGATACCGAATCGATATCATACGTTGACATTGTGTAATCCAGCAATATATTTGGTTCACTTGTGTCATTGTTGAGGAAAGAATCCTCGGTGGAGACATTCAAGATGAAAGATGATATGTAAGAAAGACAATATGCCATTTTTGTATAATTTGTCTTACTCCTCAATATTACCAATCCGCTTTCATCATTTATAATCAGCTTGTGTGCAGATAATTGTATTTTGCAAATATTCATGTTTATATTCATCGAAATTTAGGCAAGTTATATTGATTTCAAAATTACTCACAATTGGTATAACTCCATCGTTAAAAAGAAACTATATCACAAATCTTTTCCTTAAATGTTCCACCATTACTACACCAAGAGTTCCGATATAGACTAACATCAATCCAGTTACGGACTCTTGAAAAGAAGAACGCGCAGTAAGTAGCTCGTGGTTGTTTTTATCATAATTTGATTTTTTATTTCTAACTTTACTTTTGCTCTGCAGATAACAACCTAATTTATTTCGAAATAAGATTTTTCACGAAATTGTCAGTATTGCATAAGAATAAGCGACGTAGTACCAAAGGCCATATCATTACGCACAAACTGATGAACAAATCACTCGTAGGTACATAACAAGCCAATCCAAGTTCGGAATAGTTTTTTTCTTTCTTTTTTGTACAAACAGGTACACACACTTATGGCTGTTGTACTAGTACATGGTATTTCCTTCACACTCAATAGTTATTTCCTAAAGGTTACAAAACCACTCACTAAAGCTCGTATTTTTTGTAACTTTTGAAATATAATTAGTGTGAATGAAATACCATGATGCATAACTATTCGTTACAAGCACATCCAGTCATACCACCAGTTTGTTTAATAGTCAAGAAAAATAAAATCAATTAATCAAGTCAATAAATCAATAAATATATTTGCTGTTTATTATGACGACATATGATTACAATTTTTACATAACCTTTTATACCACAACCACTAGCTGTATAACTTCTATTTACACCAGGTCTAACCACTTATTATTGTAACATAATATGTATTTCCTCACATTTTTGAAGCAATACAACGAGTTTTGCCTCCTTAATTTTGATCACTTAATTTAACTTGATTTTATGAATATAATCAATCAAACTCGTAAAATATGGCACAGATAATAAGTTCTATTTTTTCACAGAGAGACAATAATGAATCAAGAAGTCAATTGAATATTTTGTGAATTAGTTCCGAAACTTAATAATTTATATGATTAAATATAGTTTGCTCATATATAAATAGACTGAATCATGGTTTACACCATAATCCAGATATTCAGTGCTGAAAGTGGAAACCGCTCTCTTATTTACATCTAGTGATTAAGTTTAATTAATTATTTAGTTGTACTGTATCCGATTCTAATATTTTTTATTGAATAATGTAATCCACTTACGTGTCTTTTGTTCAGTCTTATGTGTCTTTTGTTCGGTCTTATGTTTCTTTTGTTCAGGCTTATGTGTCTTTTGTTCAGTCTTATGTGTCTTTTGTTCAGTCTTATGTGTCTTTTGTTCAGTCTTATGTGTCTTTTGTTCAGTCTTATGTGTCTTTTGTTCAGTCTTATATGTCTTTTGTTCAGTCTCATGTGTCTTTTGTTTAGTCTTTTGTTCAGTCTTATATGTCTTTTGTTCAGTCTTATATGTCTTTTGTTCAGTCTTATGTGTCTTTGGTCAGTCTTTTGTTCAGTCTTATATTCAGTCTTATGTATTAATTGCTTCAGAATGGTTAGTATAACATTTACAAATCAGAATCAAATATCTGGAACCTGGCCCCACTTGTATAAAACATCTC